AGATAAAGAAGACAATGGAAATAATGTTGCTTGTGTTCTAAAAAATATTGAGTTCAAATATTTACCTATCCCAGATTTTAATAAAAATATCATTCCTTCATATATATTTTAAAAGAATCACTTAAACATTGGGATAATTCAACAAAAATTAGGACAATAATAATGAAAAACTTAAAGATAAAAATCTTAAATTCTTTCATTTTTGCATCATAATCACCTCGTTATTTTCCAGAGAAACAAAAATAAAAATTGCCCAGTTACTTCAAAGTTATTTAAAAATAAATCATTATTAACAGCAGATCTAGCATTTCTCAGTTTCTGTACAAAAACTTCCAAAATAACGTCACTTTACTTGGTGAGCACAGCACAAAAATACTTTTCCTTTTCCTCGGCCRTCAGAAAGGGGTTTAAAAACAAACAGATTTGGTACAAACGGAGCAGAGCAGCACTGCAGAACAAAAATAAATCTGAATTTGTGACCTTTAACGTCAGAATCAAGATGAGCAACGAGGCCGCTCTAACTGTAACAGCTTCATCTCATCACCCTGAAAATAGTTTTACAAAATGAARGTTTAAAAATATATATCTACACATCATTACACAAGTAGTTCYGTTACAAAAACCTGCATGTTCTGAAAGGTGCCACGCTAGAAGAGACGTTATTGTTGCAGCTCACAGAGAAGCGTCAGCCTTTAGCCTTTGGTAACCAGCGAAACATTCATGAGGACAGACGACAACAGAAGCTTGATATCTAAGGCATTTCTTCACGTGTCGGCGTGGAGCTGGTGTGAGGAGGAAAAGCAGCGGGACGACAGGACAATAAACACGTCTGTGAAACTAAAGTAGAAAAACTTCAGGGATTATCTGAAGTTAAAGCTGGGTGAGGTCGCAGCCAGGGGCCATGAAAAAAAAACAAAAACACACAATCAACCTGCCTAAAGAACACAAAGCTCCAGGTTTGTTTCATCCGAAGTTTAGCATTAATGACATCCGTCAGGTAATACGGAGGATGCTTCTTTGGGACTTCTCACTGTTAATCTGGCTTCARATCATCAAGATGAAGTGACATTAGTGGAACGATCACTCAGATTCTGTAGCAACACACTGCTTAAAGTTTCAGATGAGAGAAAAAAAACAAAAAAACAATCTGGTTTCATCTAATGAGGGTCTGAGAACAYGTAAATATGGATTTTTACCCCCAAAAATCAAAGCCTTGAGGGAAAATTAGGTGTTGCTGGTTGAAAACAGAAATACTTCTTAGATAAATGAAGAAGTATTTTGTCAGTGCAAAGAGAAATGATCATATAAGGAAGGTCAGTGCACCTAACACTCATCTCTTTACACTCATCTCTTTACACTCATCTCTTCACACTCACCTCTTCACACTCACCTCTTTACACTCATCTCTTCATCTCTTTACACTCATCTCTTCATCTCTTTACACTCATCTCTTCAAACTCATCTCTTCACACTCATCTCTTCATCTCTTTACACTCCTCTTCACACTCATCTCTTCATCTCTTTACACTCCTCTTCACACTCATCTCTTCACACTCATCTCTTCAAACTCATCTCTTCACACTCATCTCTTCATCTCTTTACACTCATCTCTTCACACTCATCTCTTTACACTCATCTCTCCGTTTAGATTCCTTAATCATTGACAAGCAAACAGCTCCAGTTTGTACCCCTCATGCATTTTGTCAGCATTACATCATCTAAACGATCTGGAGAAAGGTTATAGAAGCAGAATTGCAGTCTGGCACGACTAATCTGTTTGTGTTGATTTTGCCTTACAGTAATTTTGACTAAAATATTTACAACCTCCCCAGACTGCACAGAAAGTCTTAGCTGCTGCTGCTTCCCAACAACCACAGAGATCAACATAAAAACTCTTTGTCCACATCGAGACTACTGTTAGGGTCTGTAAAGACGTCTGCGAACAGAGCTGAAGCTCAGTGGTCTTGGAGCATTTTGGTTGGTTGGTTTCACAACAACATGAGATAGTTGACAATTAAAATCTTTGAGGTCGTCAGAAATGGTTCGTTTTTCTCTATTTTCAGCTACTATAAACATCTTCCTGCCAGTCAGGCAGAAACTTTACATCTTTGTTATTCTTGTAAAATAATTCAGGTATTTTGTAGGAAAAGCAGACACTGTTTCTGTGCTGGGTTTTGAAATAAAATCATAAACTGAAAATAGAAATGTTTTTACAGTTTCATGGTAGACAGAAAATATGTGAGGCACAAAGTGGGCCGTAGTCCATCTACAGCTCTCAAACAAAAAACACTGGATAAGATTTGATGTCGACAAATAATAATAATAATAATAAAGATTGACTGCTGCATGGATCTGTCCATCTGACACTACACAGATTGGTCATCTTTACATTCAGAGAACCATCTTCCCTGTTCTGAAAAGCTGATTTAGCTCAGGCTGTGTTCAGCTGAAAACTTGCAAATCTCAGCTTTACGTCAAATAAAATAAAATAAAATGTTTTAGGCATTTTAACACAAAGTTTCAAACCAACAGAAGAAAAACTAAAAGCTTCATGCATCCAATATAGTCTGAGAAAAAGCTCTGAGCAGCTTTTTTATCTTTCATCGTTGGACTGAAAACAAAAGAAGAGCTGATTAAACTTGTGCTGACGGAGCAGTTTTCTTCAGATCCTGCTCAGTTTCTGAGGTTTCAGAGGAAATGTCCATCATTTTGCTCCGTCCTCATTGGCTGAGACGTGCCACACAATGAGGTGGCTGCGCTCAGCTTTAGCCAGGAAGGGCTGCAGTTTCAAGTGGGGGTCTTCGGCCTCCTCTGCCTCACCGTCTTCATCACCTGCAGACACACGCGTCGTGTTGACGTCAACAGTCTGCTGCATTTATTACTCTTGTGTTTCTGTTGGAGAARATCAAACTCACCCATTCTGAAGTCGATGTAGCCTTCTCCTCCACTCATCACCAACATGGACTTCCTTCCTTCCTGAGGGGACGTGTCTGAGGACTTGTCTCCTGTCTCTCCTCCACAGGACACAGAGTCTGAGTGACCTGAAAGCAGACGGCCTACAGTTTGAAAAATGAAGCTTTCCAGACCGTCAGTCAAACCAGTTGATTTAATATGAAAACACGAAGGATAATTTTATTGTTTCTTAATATTTGTCCTAATGARCACAGCTTTATACCATATTTACAGATGAAATAGGCACGATTTTAAAGGAGCATTTGCATTTTTTCTTTCCCAAGAAGCTTGTATGGTCTGTAAAAAAGGACATAGTCCAGTGCAGAAAGAACACTGTGACACTTGTTTATATCCTAAACCCTGAACCCCACAGAGCACCATTAAATCCATAGTTGAAAAAGGACTCTCCCCCAAAACTCACAAACTGAAGTGACGATGCTGTGCTCAGATGAGACTGAACTGGACTTTTTTTTAAAGATATTTAAAAATTAAGATATTGTTTAAAGTGATCAACAAACTAAACCAGCAGAGCCAGTCAGGAGCATTAACTGCAGTTTTAATTTCATTATAGGGCTGCAACTAACGATTATTTTAATAATCGATTAATCTGCTGATTATTTTTTCGATTAATCGACCAAATCATTAAAACGCTTAATTACATGAACATGAGTAGATATAAATTAAGTTAACTCCTTAAGGATGCAAGTTATTGATTAATGAATTAATCTGAAGTTGATTTATCTTATAGATTAACAATTAATTAATAAGCAGCCATTTTTAAAAAAATCTGTTTTCTCTTGAATCAAGAGGGTCTTCCCATAAAATGAAGGATTTTTTTATAATCTCCTGAATTAAAAAACAGAAGCACATAATACATATTTTAACAATTTATTTCACCAGCTGTWTTAAATACTGACTGAAAAAATGTGTATTTCTCCTACATGAAACATAACAGAAACTTCATAGGTTGCTGAATGAGGAAAATAGATTAAAATAATAAAATATGATTTTTAGATGTAAAACTATTATTAATTTATTATAATTAGAATTTATTTACATTTAACATTTATTTTTTTCTTTAATTCTTTACTTTTTTTTCATTCTTGTTGGTTCTGTTTGACTAAAACATTGTTTGACCCTAGGGCTGCCACAAACAATTATTTTTAGAATCGATTAATCACCGATTATTTTTTTTTTGATTAGTCGACTAATGAGATCATACATTAATGGAATATAAAACATAGTTTATCACATCAGAATGCAGCTGCTATTATATAACCATGGTTAGATTTTAGCTATATGCTAACTAAAATAATAGCCGTGGAAGGCAAGTTCTGCTCTGCAGATATTGTACAGGTTTCTCTTTCATTTTCTTAAAATGATCCCACACTTTGAGCTCCGTTGTCAGGTAGCCATGATACCAGAGCCTGTCTGTATAATGTCTTGTGACGTCCACGGCCTACCCCAGTTACCACTGCTGTGCACGTGTGTCAAGGACAGAAAGGCAGATGTGGCAGTGGAAGGTGTCAAAGCAGTTTGGAGAGAAAAACAAAGTAAAAAACAAAAGAAAAAAAGAAAGAAAATGATTAATCGATTATTAAATTAGTCATCGATTATTTTAATAATTGATTAGTCGTCGATTAATCGTTGCAGCCCTATTACATTAACAAACTTTTTTCATTTTTCAGCCACCACTAACCATCACTGGACCTAAAACACCCACTAACTGGCAACACAGGTTTCTAAACTGGACCGTCTACAAAGAGCCTGAAGATGGAAGAGCTGGACTTTTTTTAGACTGTGACGCTGAAAGGCTCCAGCTGAGACARCAAAAGGTTCTTGTACCTGGAACTGCAGCAAAGAACTGAACAGCGTTCCTGTGACCATGGAAACTGAGCTGAGCGTGAGCCATGGAGCAGTAGGGAACGAAGGTCCCGGCTGTCACTTGGTCACCGCTGTCGTCTCCGTACACACGAACCACTCCTCCAGGGTGGTTACCTGCTGCCGGGCTAACGTTGTTAGTTGCTAAAAGGAAAAAGACAGATATTTGAGGGGGACAGCGAAATGTTAATTATGACACCTTTAAAGATGATTTCTACAATTTAACTTTGTTTCCACCTAAACTGTTCTGAACCTACTGTCTGTCAGAGGGATGGAGATGATGACTCCGTTACCCGTCCCAATCCACAAACGGTTACACGACACCATGAGAGCCGTGATCCTCACAAACGAGAAGCCCAGTTTGCCCGTACCTGCACACCATCAACACCAATAGCTTTTTTATCAGAAAAACTAACTTTTTAAACACAGGGTCCATGCAGGTTTCAGTAAGTTAAATTTAAGACCTTTTAAGACCTTTTAAGACCATTAGCAATGACATTTAAAGACCAAACTGACGCATTAACAGAAACATTCAAATGGTCCCAGAAATTTTAAAATGGAAACCTTTAATTGTTACCAATTTAGTTATTAAAGAATATTTAAATTTTAATACAAGAACATTAAATTACTTTAATGAATCGGTCATATCTATAAGACCTTTATGTCTACTGCTGTGGCTCGCTTCCAACCGAGTGCAAAAATCACTGGTATCAGCCCAGTCTCATTGAAAACCCACTTTCCCATGTTTAAACGAACAAGCAGCGGACATGACTAAACTTTTTTTTTGTTTGTTTTGGCGGGTGAACAAGCTTCCGTATGCAGGGGATTGTAGCGGCAAAGAGGTCAGAAAATGGAAGCAAACGGTGCCGTTTTTTGCCTGCAGTTATCACAGGATTTGTAGTTTAACTGTGTACCAATACTGGTAGCAACCTTAGCCCTTCATGAAGACAGATCACATTAACCTCTGATTACAGATCTTTGTTTATTTATGCAGCCAACACTTCTCAGGATGACCAAAAGTAAAACATTTAAGACTTGACTAAATTAAATTYAAGACCTTGGATCTGGGTGTTTTAGGCCTAAAATTTAGATTTTCAGATTTTAGACTTTTTAAGACCTGGCATGAACCCTGTAAACAGGAGACATTTCACCACCAGTGAACTGACCGAGCATCTTGCTGACATAGGGCTCGATGTCGATGTCCTGGAGGTGCTGGTAGGTGCGCGCGTGGAACAGCCTGAGGGTGGAGTCCAGTTTAATGGACACCCAGATGCCATCGCCGTGCCAGGCCAGCTGACGGACCTGACTGTCCTTACGGGGGTGGGCGTCAAACGATTTCTGCACCAGACACAAACACACGTAAAGCAAACCTGTGGATGCTACGGCATTTAAATCCCACAYAAATCTGTTTTTACCTCCACCTTCATGGCTCTGGGGTGCACCACATAGATCTTGTTCCTGTGGCCGCACCACACCCGGTCATGGACCACCGTCATGCAGCGGATGGAGTGATGCTGCTTCCCCAGGTCTAACAGGTGGTAGTTGGCCAGGTCCCACTGTCCATCTGAGAGCAACAACCAAATACTGCTTTATCAAGTTCCTACGGACTCCAACGTGCTTTACAGTCGCACTGATGGTGGTAAGCTACATTGTAGCCACAGCTGCCATGAGGCACACTGACAGCTGGTTTAGTTCTCTCACCCACTCCTCTGTGGAAAATGGCCAAGGTGCTATCAGACAGGCTGACGAGGACGCGTCCCTTCACGTGTCTGTGGGCGAGACGTGTTTAAACAAACAGCTGGAGGAGAAACACGCCCGCAGCCACCTGAGTGAACTTACACTATGCCGACCACAGGCTTCTTCAGCTTCACGGAGTGGAGGCACCTCTTCCAGTGAGCCACAGACGAGTGCACGTACACACTAGGATCAGAGGTGACAAACAGTTTCAAGAAACGTGCTGACAGATGTGGAGAGATTAGGGATTATAAAAACCCACCATCCGTTCTGTGCCCCCAGCCACATGGTGGGCAGGACACTGCTCATTTTCTGAGCCTCTTCCATCATCGGGTCGTGTTCCTCTGAGCTGGGGTTTGAACTCACTCCGTCTTTCAGCAGGTCGCTCTCTCTGCTCGTAGAAACAACAGCAGAGTAAAGGATTTAGTTTGTGATCATTGTTTTACAAGATCAGAAACAAAATCATCTCCTTATAAATGATATTTTAAAGGAGACGTATCACGCTTTTAAATCCTTTTTCACATTTTAACCATTCAGTTTGGGTCTATATAAAGTGCAAMTGCAATGATTCAGTCTGAATTCCTCCTTATTGTAACTCCACAAGCCCCTGTTTTCTGGTGTGTGTCTCAGATAAACTAGTTTTGAGGCTGTCTCTTTAAATCCAACTGAGGCACTTCACACTCCACCTCCTCCAGCTTCCAGACCGGTTCATTCTAGTTTGATAGAGGGGTTTACGACTATATAGCAGCACAGAAACATTTTATTTACTAATTAATTAAAAGATGACAACAAGAGAAGACTTGTTCATCCAGGCTCACGTTGGAGCCAGAGTCTGATCCAGAGTCTGACCCAGAGCCAGAGTCTGATCCAGAGTCTGACCCAGAGCCAGAGTCTGACCCAGAGTCTGACCCAGAGTCTGACCCAGAGCCAGAGTCTGATCCAGAGTCTGACCCAGATCCAGAGTCTGACCCAGAGTCCGACCCAGAGCCAGAGTCTGACCCAGAGCCAGAGTCTGACCCAGAGTCTGACCCAGAGCCAGAGTCTGACCCAGAGTCCAACCCAGAGCCAGAGTCTGAACCAGAGCCAGAGTCTGAACCAGAGCCAGAGTCTGATCCAGAGCCAGAGTCTGATCCAGAGCCAGAGTCTGACCCAGAGCCAGAGTCTGAACCAGAGCCAGAGTCTGAACCAGAGCCAGAGTCTGATCCAGAGCCAGAGTCTGACCCAGAGCCAGAGTCTGAACCAGAGCCAGAGTCTGATCCAGAGCAAGAGTCTGATCCAGATCCAGAGTCTGACCCAGAGTCCGACCCAGAGCCAGAGTCTGATCCAGAGCCAGAGTCTGATCCAGAGCCAGAGGAGAATGAAGATGATGAAATTGTAGGKTTTTTTTTGACAAATTTGGTCCCTGAATTTGGACACAGCCTACATTTAAAATTTCTGCACTCCTAGAGACCTCAAGTACACAACAAAATGCATTTAACAACAAAAAAGTAGATTTTGTATGATATGTCCCCTTTAATTAGTGTATAGACACGAGGTGATGCACACATTTTTTGAAAGAAATTTCCAAAAATCATAAAACCTAAACTGTGCTTATGTCAAAATAAATAAAGACTTGAGTTCAGCTTTCTGTGACACACAATTAAACTTTGAAACAAAATGATTTATTTAGTGGTTAGAACATTAAAGTGCTTGTTTTGGACGTCACAACAAGAACTAACGCACTGCTTGGCAAAGGGCTTTGAATGCAGCTATTCATATGAAACTGTAATTAAACAGCCTGGATCCTAATGTTACCTCTGTGAGTAGTTGGCTGGGGTCTCTCTTGTCTGCTGAGCTCCCAGAGGATCTGTGAAGACGTGCTCTGTAAAGACTCCCCTCAGAGCTTCACTGTGGTCGACAGGTCCTGCACTTGCCTCGGTGGCCTCTGTAGCTTCTTCTGCTCGTGTCAATCACAGTCAGTGAAAACGGTCAGAGGTTTAGGACGGTAAATCTGGGTGGGTGAGGASAATCAGATCATCAGTGATCCTGATGGCGCTCTCTTGCTCCTCACCTGCTGTTTGAGAAACAGCTGTTGCTGCCTGAGCTTCACAGCCCACAACTGTGACGCCTCCGAGAACACCGTCAGCCCCGTCTGAGCTGCTTTTAGCTTCTGACAAACTGCCGTCTTCTCCTGGTCCCAGATCAGACTGTAGAGACACTTCCTCCCCAGCAGGGTAGTCTGTCTCTCTTGCACCTGAACAGAAGAGAATCACGGAGTTTAACACTATTAAATTTGGACCTTTTATACTTTTTTTATAGTAACTGACCTGGAACACTAGTGATGCAGAAGACGTGCGAGTTACAAACGAAGAAGCTCTCCAGGATGTTTCCAGGCTGGTTGGCATCAATAACAACAACCTTTGAGGTGGACTGAGTGCTGGTGGAAATCCACACCAGAGATGAAAACTCATCCTGGTGCTGCAGCTCTTTCTGCTGCTCCTACAAACAAAAAAAAACAAAAACAAAACAAAAAAAAAAACAGAAGACAAATGACTCCAGCTGTAAAGATCTGACTCATGCTGCATCTTAAACAGAATAAAGCTGTGTTTTGTTTACTTTTAGCTCTTGGTCCAGTTTATCCAGGCTACTCTGAGACCCTGTCTTCTTTGTAGGACTCACTGGGCCTGAGGAGTCACTGTAAAACACACTGGCCCCCACTATGGACCCTCCGTCTCTGGTTTTCCCTCCAGACAGATTTACACCTGCAGCACACCACAGCTGCAAGACACACACACACACAGTTACAGCAGTGAAGGACAACAGAACACACCCTGACACCACATCCATGACAAAAAGGTCACACTTGATTACGTCAGCATAATAAAATGCTCAAACTCCTCTGGACGGTGCCTTTAAGCAAATATTGACAGCTCTGAGACCATGTTTTGCAAATAAAAACACGTTAGAATCTGGAGTAAACCTTCATAGAAGGATCTTTTTCATCCAGAGGTCTGAGGAAGACAGGAACAGGTAGATTCTTCATCTTGCCCTCTGCCTGAGCACCATTCACCTGCAACACCAGCATCGTGTCATGGATCATGTCTTGTGTAGTGGGCTCAAGTGGGCTGCTAATGAATGACTTGTTACTTTGTATTTCTTAGGTAGACTCCAGCCGTAGGCCTGCACTCGGCTGTCCTCCTTCTGAACGTGAGCTTTGACCTGTTTGTACTGAGCTCGCTTCTGTTCTCGCCTCGACGTCACGCTTTCAGCCGGCGCTCTGTGGGACAGAAAACAGCTCCTCAGAACTTCAGTTCCTACAGGTTTCCCATTCCTAAATACTAGACTTTACAGACGGTTTACAAAAAGATGATCATTGAAAAAGTACACTTAAAAAAATTGTTCCCATTGTTGTAATGAGTCTTTTTTTCAAACCGTTTCAGTTCAGAGAAAATGAGAAAAAGCAGCATACCAGTTTAATTCCCTTATACTACAAGGATTATGTGCCACATGTGGCAAACTGAGCATTTTAGTGAGGTTTTGTGAAGAAGGTATAACAACTAATATTTTACCTGTTATAGAGATATTTGATCAACCGTTGATTACACTGAAAAAACTGTCCATCTTACCAAGTTTTAAAATCTTATATCCAGCCAAAATCTTTTTGATCTTGTTTTGAGACTGATTTACCAAACAAGAACTGATTGTGTAAGAATAATAATCTTGTTTTCAGAATGTGTAAGATTATTTGTCTTGTTAGTCTGAAAATTTGACTCAAATTAAGTCAAAAATTTCTGCCAATGGAGTAAGAAAATTTTACTTGGTAAGATTCTTGAAATAAGAAATATTTGAGTCAAATCAAGTATTTCAAGAATTTTACCAAGTAAAATTTCTTACTCCATTGGCAGAAATTTTTGACTTAATTTGAGTCAAATTTTCAGACTAACAAGACAAATAATCTTACACATTCTGAAAACAAGATTATTATTCTTACACAATCAGTTCTTGTTTAGTAAATCAGTCTCAAAACAAGATCAAAAAGACTTTTTTGCTGGATATAAGATTTTAAATCTTGGTAAGATGGACAGTTTTTGCAGTGTAGGTACATTACCTAGACTTTTTGTTCAAATATCTACAAAATAAAACAAAACTACACTGCAAAAACTGTCCATCTTACCAAGTTTTAAAATCTTATATCAGCCAAAAAGTCTTTTTGATCTTGTTTTGAGACTGATTTACTAAACAAGAACTGATTGTGTAAGAATAATAATCTTGTTTTCAGAATGTGTAAGATTATTTGTCTTGTTAGTCTAAAAATTTGACTCAAATTAAGTC